GGTGAATGTCAATGTGCTTTGTTCTTGAGTGTTGAATGGGGTTGTTGGTAAGCTTGACAGCACTCTCATTGTCACATAGCAATGGCACTTGCTTGAAGTTGATTCCAAAGTCACTCCAAGTTATCTTCATCCAAAGTAATTGAGCACAACAACTATCGACGAAGATGTATTCGGTCTCGGTGGTAGATAGTGCTACACTATTTTGTTTCTTTGATGACCATGACACAAGTGATCTTACAAGTAATTGACAAGTGCCTGATGTGCTCTTCCTATCAACCTTGCATCCCGTATAATCTGAGTCGGAGTATCCAATTAGCTCAAATTGTGACCCCTTGGGATACCAAAGTCCAACATTTTGTGTATGCTTGAGATATCTCAGTATCCGCTTGGTTGCCTTCAAATGACTCTCTCTAGGAGAAGCTTGGAACTTTGCACACATGCATACACTAAACATGACATCAGGCCTAGAAGCGGTGACATAGAGTAGGCTTTCAATCATAAACCGATATAACTTTTGATCCACCATGTTGTCACTTGTATCCAAGTCTAAATGACCATTTGTACCCATTAGTGTGTGGATTGCCTTTGCTTCATTTAAGCCAAACTTTTTGAGCATGTCTTTGATGTACTTGCCTTGACTCATAAATGTGCCATTCTTCATTTGCTTAATTTGAAGACCAAGGAAGTAACTAAGTTCACCAATCATGGACATCTCAAATTCACTTGCCATTATTTCTCCAAACTCTTCACAAAAGTTTTAGTTGGTTGATTCAAAGATAATATCATCTACATTGATTTGCAACACAAACAAGTCCTTGCCAATCTTCTTGGTGAACAAAGTGGTGTCAACCTTTCCCATCTTGAACCATTTAGAGAGTAGGAAGTCCCTCAACCTCTCATACCATGCTCTAGGTGCTTGTTTCAATCCATATAATGCCTTCTTGAGCTTGTAAACATGGTTGGGCTTCTTGTCATCTTTAAACCGGGTGGTTGCTCAACATAGACTAACTCATTGATGTATCCATTCAAGAATACACTCTTCACATCCATTTGATAGAGCTTGATGTTATGGGTACAAGCATAAGCAAGTAAGATTCTTATTGCTTCTAATCTTGCAATTGGTGCATATGTTTCTCCAAAGTTAAGACCTTCTACTTGAGTGTAACCTTGAGCTACTAATCTTGCTTTGTTCCTCATAACTATGCCATCTTGATCTTGCTTGTTTTAAACACCCACTTGGTACCAATCACATTGTAGTTCTTTGGTCTTTCTACCAATTCCCAAACTTGGTTTCTTGTGAAGTTGTTTAGTTCTTCATGCATAGCATTGACCCAATCCGCATCCATCAAGGCATCTTTAATCTTGGTTGGCTCAATTAATGAGACAAATGAATAATGCTCACAAAATGAAGCCAATCTTGATCTTGTTTGCACACCTCTTGAAATGTCACCAATGATATGATCTAGAGGATGATCTCTTGCTATGTTTGTAGGTTGGAGCACTTGAACTTGATGGCTTGAGCTAGGTTGATCACTTGGTTGATTCACTTGAGTTGGACAAGCCACTTGTTGATCTTGCATTTGATTGCCATTGACTTGATCTTGAGAACCATTAGCTTGCACATTGGGTTGAGATAGTACTTGAGCTTCATCATCTTCATCATCAACCACTTGTCTTGGCCTAATGTCACCAATGTCCATTTCTTTCATTGCATTGATCAATTGGGAGCCTCTCACATCTTCTAAGTTCTCAACTTCATCTTGAGAGCCATTGGTTTCATCAAATTCCACATCATGCACCTCCTCAAGAGTACCACTAGCCAAGTTCCAAGCTCTATAAGCCTTGCTAGTTGTGGAGAAACCAAGTAAAAGCCTTCATCACATTTTTTTTGTCAAACTTCCCAAGTCTCTTGCCTTTCTTCAAGATGTAGCATTTGCAACCAAAGACCCAAAAGTATGCAATATTTGGCTTTCTTCCATTCAATAGCTCATAGAGAGTCTTCTCCATCATGGGATGACAATAGAGAGCGGTTGCTAGAGTAGCAAGCCGTATTCACTACTACACTTAGACCTATCACAGACACATGTCGTAACCTCCCTTGACCGTATTTTGGCCTCGTCGGTAAGCACTTCGGCGAGAGATGGTCATAGCCCTCCTTTGTCGGCTCCGTGATCGGCCTTGGCCTACTAACACGCTTGCCTTATTGACTTCTAATCCACCGTGATCAGATCCTTACTTCTATCGTATTGGAGCATGACCCGCCTGTGTGGTACGCACTAACACCGCCGTATAGGCTTATGATCCGTCTGTGATTAGGTCATTGTTTCTGTCGCATTGGAGCACGACCGCTTTGTGTGGATGTCTGATAACACCACCGTGTTGGCTTATGATCCGTTCGTGATTAGGTCGTTGTTTGCGTCACATTGTACCATGACTCGCCTGTGTAGAGGACATCATCACAGTCATTCTGATGTATTACCCATCTATTTGAATGGCATTACCACCGTCGCCGGTATTGACAATATATTTATTAATTAATTTAGATGGACCATACTAATAGCTACATGACACAACATGCAGATATACATCAAATCCATATATCATGTTAACATACAATAGTACTTTTGAAATAGACGACACGCCGACATTAGTAGCTAGGACACAGATGCAGGATTTAAAATGTTGTTGATAATTAACAAACATACATGATAATTAACACACCTCATGCGCCTGGTCTTCATCTACGACCTCTTCCAAAATAAGGCCGTGTTTGGCTCGACTCTCCGGGGCTCCGGCTCCTGTACAAATGAACGTGGATTGAGAAGGAGCTACCGAAGCTACGTTTGTGGTGCTCCGCCGGCTCCGCCATAGTACCCGCACAGTGGCAGAGCCGGAGCCAGCGCGTAGGGGATGCCAATCACAAGAGCTCCACCAAACGCACCCTAAAAGTAGACGTGCGTTCTTGAAGTGCCTCCTTCACTAGTCACCTTCCTTGCATCGACAGCAACACGGACCGCAAGAAGGCAACTTGTGGAGAGAGGGCTGGTGATCAATAAGATGACGTGACAGGTACTGGGAACACGATTCAGGCTGTGTTTAGTTCGTGAATTTTGAAAATTTTGCTACCGTAGCACTTTCGTTTTTATTTGGCAATTAGTGTTCAATCATAGACTAATTAGGCTCAAAACGTTCGTCTCGCAATTTTCAACCAAACTGTGTAATTAGTTTTTTTTCGTCTACATTTAATGCTCCATGCACGTATCGCAAGATTCGATATGATAGCTACTGCAACATTTTTTAAAAAACTTTTTTGGGAACTAAACAAGCCGTCAAAGGTGTACCCAATAACCATGACATCAGTAAAGGAAGTAAATTAAATATACTTTATTTGTCCTTAAATATCTATTGTTTTCGTTTTTCGAGAAACAACTTTGACTAAATAATTTTTAAATAATATTAATATTTTTGGTACATAATTAATATTATTGGAAATATCTTTGAATCTAATTTTTTTAATAAATTTATTTGGAGATACAAATGTTATACATATTTTATATAAATCGAGTTAAACTTATAAACACTTGACGGTTAGGTGGTGTTTGGATCCAAAGCAAACTAGACTAAAATTTAGGAGGTGTGTCGGAAGGATGTTGCATGGGGTGTTCTGGATACTAATAAAAAACAAATTACATAATCATGCTCGGTATTCCATTTGATGCGAAATTTTTAAGCATATTAATCCGTCATTAGCATATATTTTCTTGAAGTAGCACTACATTGTCAAATAATGGACTAATTAGGCTTAAAAGATTCGTCTGACGTGAAATGGGAAATTAGTCGGTTAAACTATGAATTAATTTCATAATTAGTTTATATTTAATACTTCATATATATATCAAATATTCGATGAGACAAATTTTTAAAAAACTTTTTAGAGACTAAACAAGCCGTAAAAAAAAAAATTTAGGAGGGACAACTAACACCACCTTATTTAGGAACTGAGTGAGTATGTGGTACAGTGCAGTATACTGTTGCTTGTTTACTATAGCGCCTACCAGTGCAGTGGTAAGTGTAGGATTGTAATTTTTTTATATAATCTGAGACAAACTTATGGTCCATTTGTATTTGATAAACTTTGTCCGATCATGGACTAATTACATAACTCAAAAAGATTTAAGTGATTTACTAGTAAAGTCATGCAATTAGTTATTTTTTTAAATTATCTATATTTAATGCTCTATACATACATTCAAAATTGATATGATGAAAAAAATTTAGAGTGAAAAACAAGATAATGGCATAAAGCCGCAGTACTCCTTCGATAGGGTAGTATGTAGTACTTGACTGGTTAAAAAAAAATGCACACTTTATTGGTTAAAAATGCATAGAGTACAACTGGTCATGTACAAGGTGGCATGCTACTCGTCGAGGGGATACAACATGTCAAATGCACCTAAAGCCTAAAGGAGGTCATGAGGTGAACACCTCCTCCGACCTCCGGCGAGACCCCAGCGGCGGCGCGCCTGGCGCATCTGTTCGCCGGACGCCGGTTCGAGCGACGGAGGGACGAGCGAGGAAGACAACAGCCTCGCCGAAGGGGTCTTTTTTCTGTTGGGCTATGGGGCTTCTCTTCAGCTCTTCTTGCCTTCTCGGTGTGGGAGCGTGGGCCGTCGGGTGGGCGTGTGGCCCATCAGGGCATCAGGGCATCAGGCATCACCGCGACACCGCGTCATCCCTCGACGGCTCGACCCTCGCCCAGGCACTGCGCGGCCTTCGTGACTTCGTCCTTCGCTGGCTGCAGGGCTGAACGCCTAAATCCTAGGTCCCTACTCCGCCGCCGCACGCCGCCGCCTCCCACCGCCGCCACCCACCGCCGGTGCGCCCCTGCCCCGCGCCACCGCCGCACTGTGCACAGTGCTACAGTGGCACGCAGGCCGTCGTTCGCCATGGTCTCTGGTCTGCCCCACCTAAAATTCTAGGTGAGCTCCGCCACTGGCGCCATGCCACCGCGAAAGCGCCCGGCGCCGCCGCCGGAGGAGCCCTCCCCTTCCTCGAAGCCTCAACCTGACGCACAGCCGTCCGAACCCTCCAAACCCTCCCCCGATTCCGAGCAGCCGACCATCTCGGCGACGATCCTCGCCCAACTGCCCTCCCAGGAGCGCCTGGCATACAAGCTCATCTTCGAGGCGGGCAACAAGGGCATGTGGATGCTGGACATCCGCAAGAAGTTGTTGATGGGCCCCAACATCGCCACCAAGGTCGTGCGCACCCTCGTTACGCAGGGGCTCATCAAGGAGGTCAGCGATGTGCGCCACCGCAGCAGGAAGATCTTCATGGCCACCGACTTCCAGCCCTCCGTCGAGATCACCGGCGGCACCTGGTACCACAACGGCCGCCTGGACACTGACGCCGTAACCACTGCGCGCCGCTGCTGCCAAGCGCAGGTCGAGAGGCTCGGCGCCGCAACCGCGCAGATGATCCACCACGGCGCATTCTGAAGGACGATCCGAGGGCCGGGTACACTATCGACAAGATCAGGGATATCATCAAGACCATGGTTCTCGACAAGGTCCTCGAGGAGGTCAAGAGCACCGGCACGGGGAGTTCACGACCGTCAGGGCCGGCACAATGTGCTACCGGCTGGTGACTGGGGCTCCGCAGGAGGGATGATGGAGGGAATTCCTTGTGGGGTTTGCCCCAGGATTGATGAGTGCTCGCCGGAGGATCATCTCACCGAGCACCTGCGTTTACTACAAGAAGTGGCTGCAGATGGACTTCTAGGCGGTGAGCCCTCTTCTGCTGTACCTGTGTATCACGATGGAGTGTTGGAGTCCATTTGAGAATTCAGTTTGACATTGAACAGTAAACAGTCCACAATTATTGTTCACCAGGTTTGCATCTCAGTGCTCGCTCATGGGACACTTTGGTCAAGTTTACTAGCACTCAGTCCCCCTTTAGGATGTTCAAAGACCAACAAGAGATATGGTCCTTCAATCTGAGTCCTTGATTGTCTTTCCATCAATATTGGGGGACACAACATTCTCTTGCATTGTGAATTTGTGATCTAACATCCAAACCTGTTCGTACAAAACATGTTAGTCACAACTGCATGGTTGTTATTAACCACCGAAACGCACCACTTATCTTATTTATTGCTTGACTGATTTTTGTATTGTTGATTGAATTCCCCATGCTTGGTCTTTTGCCTATCTGAAGAAAATCTATTAAAACCTTGAATCTATATTTTCTGCAACCATCCATCCGTTATTTTCCATACCAGATGGGAGCCCATGATTTCCATAAACTGGTGTTAATTGTTCAGTTGCCAGTGGGATCCTAAACCTTGATATTGATTGTATTTCACTTGGTACAAAAACAAAATTTGGGGTAACTTGAAGTGGGTACTATGTACTTCAGGCTTCTCAAATAGTTTCGTGTTTTCTTTTTTGCCGTTTGATTTTTAAAATTTTAAGCAAATTATGCATAACAACTGACCATAGCTGGCTGGCTTGCTGTAAGTGTTCATGCACTGAGTGTCATAGCAAGATCTGGCAAGGATTGTTAAATTAGTTTTTCATGTATGTGATAGAAATCATGGTACTGGAATTGCATCCAACTGCACTTTGCATGTGAAATCTGAGTACCAAATATGGCTCCCCTTCTGTCTGTGGCGAGGTGACAGCAACCGGTTGTTTTGTTACCACCACGGACAAGCTAATGTCAATCCTCTCCGCGGGTAGGATTTTGAGAAAAAGTGTATCGGACATTTCGGAATTGGTGTTATGTGAGTTAGACTTTGCTTTATTGGTTCTGGGTAATTTTATTATTTTCAAATTGGTAAATATTTTCCCATTTCTCCATACTTTCACCATAATAAACCAGCAAAACAAGCATGCATTTGGGCTGATTCCTGGCTAATATTGTATGGTCTTTCCTCCATGATCTTTTGCTCATGGCATTACTAGCAGGCAAGCAGCTTTATAAGATTCACATGGTTGTGCTTTTTCAAATACCTCGTGCACATAATCATAGTGTACCATTTTTGGGGGAAAGGATGTTCTGGTCCCATGTCGTTATTGCTATGAAAATGTACCTTCTCCTTTAGTTTTTTTTTCTTTGGATTATTTTCTGATGATGAAAATGAATTATGTCCTGCTCAACCTCATAGCATGTATGGAATTATGTTCTCATTTCGATACACATCGAGCCTGCTTGTTGTGTCAGGACTGAAGCTAGTGAAATAGCATAAATATTTAGGACTCCTTACTCATAATTTAACTGTTCTACTTGCAGATCTCCCAGATTGGCACCTCAGGTATCTCAGGTTCCTATGTTGAGCTAAGGGCATGATGGGAAGTCTGCAGATCAGAACCATGGAAATCATCGATGAGCTGAGGAAGTCTGTAGATCAGAATATGTCTTTCTGCATTTTCCTTTCCCCTTTGTAGTTACCGTGGCAATAACAATGAGATCATCAAACAGCTGTGCATTTTAAGTAACTCGAGATACTCCCGTCTTTGTGTCTGTAATAAGAACGTGTTTCATGTGCGTGAAACTTGTCAATTCTGTTAATTTTTGGCATGCGCCTGACTTCTTGTTCAACTGGCGTGAATTGTATACTTCGTTCATGAAGCACTGATCATATGCCTTCGCTCGCAACTCAACTTCCTTCAGCATTGCAGAAATACAGTGATCTGTCATTTTTTTATGCAAGGGTTTAACCATCTATGTGATTGCTATTTACTAACTAGTGGATTATAGCATGTTAAATCATCACTAAGATACAAAATGTGTTATATATAATTAAAATTATGTGAAAAATGAGATTTAATGTTTACTTATTGTTATAATAATCTGAGTTTCATTAGACCTTTTGTTTAAATCCCAAGATCCACAATAAATGTTAGATGTAATAAAGGATTAATTCTGCATAGAAAATTAAATAAATATTGATTCAGCTAAAATATATCTACTTGTTATGAGGTTGAGAGAGGTGAAAAAACGAGCCATCCCGAGTGGCAATGAACACGGGCTCGTCAGATCAGACCACGACATGCGTGGTGCATATAAGGGAGACAGCTAGGCTATAGATTTAACTTCCTCCGTCCTAAAATAGTGTGTTATTACTTCTAAAATGCATTTTATGTGGTGCCCATGTTCATATTTAGCAAAGCTTATTAAAATAATTTAAGAAACTTCTTAATTGGGTTTAATCTATGAGTACATGTCATTTGAGTGTTCTTTTAAGTTTGTTAAAAATTTTCTAGAATGCATTTTATTACAAAACAGAGGGAGTATGTCATAATTGTTTGGGAGATTATTTGTTAATTGACAAGGAGCCTTCTCACAGTAACAGGACAGGTGGCATATAAATGGAGACGGCTAACAAGTGGCCTGAAATTATTTGCTACGGTTTATAAAACCCTGAAAAAGAAAAGCTCACTGATTTCTATTTTACACAGTAATGTATCACCAGTACTGGTACAAGTATACAACATTGGCCAGCTGGTATTTTGCTTACAGCTATAACATGAGGGGGCACAGGCTAAACTTGCATCTCATGGGCCGAAGCAATCCAAGAGGAACGCGTGACACGAGCAGTAATCTTCAAGCGGTTGGTCTGCAAACAATAGCAGCATTTTGGTTTTTATCTGAGCCATCATCGGCCAGCTACATGAACTTCTCTAACTTAGTCACTGATGGAGCTCATGATGTTTGAGGCAATGGCGATGCTGCTCGTGACCACTGCCAGAAAGATCATTGTTGCCGCCAATGCCTTGTCCTCGCACTTCGCTATTCCATGAACATCCCTGCAGAAAAATCGAGTGTTAGATTCTATAAGCTAACATAGCATTGGTTGACAATAGCATCTTTGTTTTTCAAATCAGGGTAACAGTAGTTCATATAGCACAACTTCTAACTAAGGAGTAGTTCATACACTTCAGGTTTTGATTGCTATGTATATGTGAGAATGTGGAGTAGGACAACGTAGCTTTGGCACACTTTTGGCATATTGGCGCTATACCCTATACATATACACCACCTGGCTGTCCACTTGGAGTACATTTTCAAGAATTTCCTCGAACATGAATATGATGCCCTTTCTGATCATATTGACCTTGCTACGGGCAAACAGGTTTGATTTTACGAAATCAATTGCCTGATATTATTTTTAGTCACACAACAAATAAAAGCATGCTGCCTTACTATCTTATGTATTGTATCAGAAAAATCAGTTCTGGCTCATATGTTTGCAATACTTGTTGCTTACCATTACTTTCTTGCTTATTGCATCATCATGGAAAAAATGACCGATTAAGCCTCTGAACATTAAACTCGACATCAATTAGGTCAGTCATACCAGCTTTGATCTTCTGACCTACTCGGACAGGACCCACACCCTCAGGAGTACCTGTAGGGGAACTAATGAATAACCCACAGAAAGACCTCAGATGCACAAAAACAAGCTGAGCATAGAGAAAATGTCACTACCTGTTAGTATCACATCACCCTCCATTAATGCCATGATGGAACTGATATAGCTGATCAGAAAAGGAATCTTGAATATCATGTCCCTTGTGGATCCTTTCTGTCTTAGTTCATCATCTACCTGGATACAGTTGGTAGTCAATTGTACACCATATGCTCTATCACTTCAGGCAACATTAAAGAAATTCAGTACATATTTGCAGAAATACCTTTAGTCAGAGCTCGAGATCGTCGGGATTAGTGACAGCCGATTTTGGAACCTGATTGATGGAGAAATTATCATTAGCTGAAGTCAAAACATGGTGTGTCATACTGATGGGATTACACATTTCATGTCACTAGATGGCTGCGGAGAACACAGAAGGCAACAAAGATGAGGTGTCTCTTATCTAACAACCCTTCTGCACCGACTAATACTTCTGAGCTGACTAACTTCAATATGGCATTGATTCATTGAGGTGTAATTATAACAAGCGAACACAAATAAATAAAACATACTGTCCTGAGCCACCAACCAACTCCAAGCACATGAAGAAAAATCATTGCTTACTACTGCACTAATTGGAGTGAAGGTGTCTTGTCCTTTAGCCAAAGTCCATGGAAGGCCAGCAGACTGCAAATTAGTGGATGTTGAGTATGATAAGAAAATTAACGGTATAGTTCTCTTTAATATAAAAGCATCAAGAGGTTGAGTCTACTTAAGGTCTTGGCAACCAATTGATGCTACCAGATTTGTACAACAAAATATATTTAGAAAACATTATGTGAAACGAAATATATTTGATGGATGAAGGATGTAACTAGCTCGACTAAAAGCATCTGAATCTTTGCTATTCATCAATAGATATGATCATGGGGAAGATCCACTATTGAGACTAAATTGCAAAGTTAGTTACTGAATATGTAAATTGAATGTTTGTATGATCATACATAAGATTCAACAACCACTAGGGATGACAGATGACACTACTACAACAGTAATTGAACAAGTAGTATTGAGGCTCAGAAAAAAACTACAGAAAGTAGAAAACTCACCTTAGCAACAGATTGAAGGTCCCTTGCTGTCATGTCCAAAGCAAGTGCATAACCTGGAAAATTCAATGATGCAAGCAGTTATCACATATTTAGTTTGTCGCCAACAAATGCTTTAAACTGCTCAGTTCAAAAAGAATAAAAAGAATGAGGTAAGCACAGAGGAGACTATATATTGTAAGCTTTTAGCTCAAATTCACCAATGATGAAGAGAACAGAATACAAATAGTTACCAGTCAGGCCATAAAACCACAAATCCACAATTGTACAAGAAAACATAGTTCAATTCACGAGTTATGTATTTCTATATTCCATGAAACATACTTTTAAATTGCTCGCTTGCACTTTCCACCAAACTTGTTATCAAGAAGCTAGAATTGCTAAAATCCATCTGTTTCTAGCTTCCATCACACCATCACTCCTCGTCACAATAAAGTAGTAAGGCCAAAATAACTCTCGATGATCCTAAATACTCCTTTCATTCCAAATTATAAGATGTTTTGGCTTTTCTAGACACATTGTTTTTACTATGCATCTAGACATAGTGTATATCTATGCATAGCAAAAGCTATGAATTTAGAAGATCCAAAACATCTTATAATTTGGAATGGAGGGAGCAGTTTCCAGAGCATGAACATTTCCTAGAATCCTAATGGACCTTTCTGAAAAATGAAACCATAGGATTGTTTTAGTACACTTTGGCACTTTGCAAACATACCAACTTTTCTCTATAAACGAGAATACAAAGCCTTACTATCTCACGAAGGGCTCATCGTTAATTATCTCAGGTCTTACCATTTCAACGAGATTACAGAGCATGAACATATCTCACGAGTCACGAAGGCTCCATGGTTGTGACGCAATTCTCAAATTACCTCCGACGAAGTCCATGGCGGACGCCTCAGGAACGTCGCGCCCGCGCCGGGAGATAACGACGGCGAGCTCGACCTCGTGGTGTAGCGACTCGAGCGGCTCCGGGATCTCGACGGCGGCGGTGGCCACGCCAGCGTGGAGGAACGACGAGGTCGGCTTCAGGAACAGGACGGGCTCCGGCAACAGCAACACACCCAAACACACGCGAGATCATTCCAGATTCCAGAGGCAGCGCGGGAAGGAGGGGGAGGAAGTTGGAACTCGGAAGCGCGGCAGCGTTTTGGGATCGAGGATGGGAGGCGCGCGGACCGCACCTTGGGGACCGGGTTGCCGAGCTCCTTGGCGTGGGCGATGTAGTTGCGCCCAACGCCGATGATCTTCGTGATCGCCGCGAGGAGCCTCTGCGCCGCCGCAGCCGCCATGGCCGGCAGGGTTGGTGCCTTGGTGGACCGGAGGTGTCGAGGAGGGAGTAGAGGTGACGGAGAAGCAAATTGGTTGGTAGCTTCTGACTTCTGAATAACGATTCGCACTATTGACTTGGGCCATTCAGCTAATGGACCCACTGTCTCGCGTTAACAATTTACAAACAAAACGACGCTACTAGCAAACAGAGTACCAACAAACCAGTGCACTCCGTTCGGCTGCTCGTTTCAGCCGGCTTTATCAGCCGTACCGCGACTTATTTCTGTCTGACGTGATACTGTTGAATCATTAGCCGAAAAATCACACAAGCATCGACTCGATAAGGTTAGGCATGTGTTAAAACCATAAGTCGAGAATTAAAGTTAACGGGACCAATAAAGGCCTTAGGGCCTGTTTAGATTCCAAAAATTTTACGTTTGTATCCGTTACTACATCGAATCTTTTAGCGATTACATGCGTAAATTATGAGTACTAAATGAAAGTTTAAAAAAAAACTAATTATTATGTAATTAGTTTTTTTATGAGAAATCGCGAGTATGTGTCTTTTTCGAACCTACAAAAATTTTTAGGTTTAAACTAAATAAGCCCTTAGCCTCATCAGTAGGAGACTAGCAGTAATATCAGCCTTGTCATCGTCCGCCATTTGACGTTAAATCCAAAAGATTTTATAGGCGTCTAAATATATAAATATCACATAATATATATCGATATATATATATATATATATATGTATTTATATCGCATATAGGAAGAATTAAATATAATATATACCAAACAGAGTCCATAGCCTCATCAGTAGGAGACTAGCAGTAATATTAGCCTTGTCATCGTCCGCATCAGCCTCATCCTCCTGTCAGGCATAAGCAATTGCCATTTGACGTTAACAAAAGATTGGTATAGGCGCATAGAACATGTGTATATATATATATATATAGTGCTTGCAGAAACTTAAGTAGAAACAAATCAACCCAAAAAGTTTACATAGCATCAAGTTGTTTGAAGAGAGGGCTACGCTTCGCTGAGCTTATCGAGTACATCGGTCATACTTTGGTTTCTACATGCCTGTAAAATTCCAGTTTTTTCTCTTTAACAAATCAGAGTATTAAATAATAAGTCCTACGAATTAATTACATAACTTACCATAATGTCGTCGTCGTCATTAGTGCTTGCAGATTCCTGGCAAAAGAGGAACATTGCAAGTTAATACTGAACTGAATAGTACATCTAATTTTTTTTCGAATCTATATTTAATGCTACTTTATTACTAAACTTCGATGGGCATGAGTACACTAACACTGTCTCTTGTCTCTGAAGAACAGGGATGGCATTGCACAAAGGATAGTGTGTAACTCTGTATACCTCCTCAAGCCTCTTTTTCTTAGCCTTGTCAAAGGCAGCCTTCTCAACCTGAAACAGATCATTATTTTAAGTTGTTGCAATTAGAAGTGTAGAGTACAAAACAGTAACTCTATATAGACAAGTTGCCATATATCTTTGTGCTTGTCCCAGGTCTCCTCTCCTGATTTAACCTAGTTTTGTTTTGTTGGCTAGCCGGCTAGCCCCATACTACTTTTTCACCAATGAAGTCAAAATTCAGTATTGATAGCGTAAGCTATTAGCCGGACAGCGGACAGTGCTTTGGATCACAGAGAGACTCTGACTGACCACAGATTACCGAGTGCCCGAATCAGTGGATGTGGAGAGTTGTTGACAAAGACCTGAGAGGCTGAGACATGCAGGATGAATCAGCTGCAGAGCAGTTTCACAAAGATCTGCAGGAAGCTCACTGGCGAAGACATCACAGTATAAACTAGTATTCGCTACACGATCACTTATCTCTAGTTATCTATCTGCAGATGCCAACTCAATTGGTCGGCACACTTTTTTATTCCCATTCGTGATGAAGATTAAAGTGCACTCACAATCACTTAGAAAGTACACCATGAATGCTAACTTGACCACTTTTTTCCCGAGTTCATGCACACATAATACATGATGCTGTTGACCATTTCTTTTCTGTATCATGTACTAAAAGAAAACTGAAGAAACATAATTGCTTTTGTTTCATGATCACAGTAACATTTTTTTATCCTTTAGCCTACTGACACTGGTAGTAAACGTAGTCTATTAAACTTAACATTCTTCTAGAGGTTGTAGTTTAAACTCGGTGTACACAGCTCTGTTTTTTTCTTTTAAAACATGTCTTGTGGGATTATCGCCAGCAGCATTAGCGCCAAAAGTAGGATTGTCCAAGAGAGGAAGTAGCAGAAGTATTGAGGTTCCCTTGTACCTTTGGCTTGCAGAGGTGAAGAAGCCCTCCGCGCCGGACATGGCGTCTTCTGACTCATCGGGGCTCCGCCGCAGAGCCGCCGGCCACGGCGCTGGACAGTGCTGGGTGCTGGTGTGGGCGCCGCCTTGGGCCGGACAATCTCACTGGCGAAACCAAAACAGGGCAGTTTGGATGGGCCGAATTCCGACCCAATTGATACTTCATCTTTTTTTGTGCACTAATTGATACTTCATCTGGTCACAAAACAAATTAAAAAAAATGAGGTTTTAAATTGTCAATTATTTAAGTTTTTGATTGATAATCTCTCCATTCCAAATTATAAGTCATTCTAATTTTCTTGGATGGTCAAAGCATCTCCCATTTGATCAAAATTATAGAGGGAATTACAAAAATTTATGACATCAAAATAGACATACTATGAAAATATAATTAATGAAGAATATAATGATACTTGTTTTGTATCATAAATGTTATTATTTTATTATATAAATTTTATCAAACTTAAGATGTTTTGACTCTCCAGTAAAATTAGAATGACTTATAATTTAGGATATGACGGAGTGAGTACAAATTTAGCGGAAGTAGATAAATATATACACACGCATAAACCCACCCGCGCACAAATACACACTATCCTTACAGAAGCACCTAAATTGGGCAGGTAGAATGGCAAACTAACCACGTGAGCTTAGCTTGTCGACAGGCTACTTGCTACCATTGAATAAATATCGTCGTTTCTTTCTTGAATAAAACTGCGAGCTTTTGTGCCCAGTTTGATACTTGAATTGCGTTCGACAGGTTTTACGTGAGAAAAAATCTAACCAACTGAGCTATGTTAGTTTGCTTGATACAAAGTTACCATGTCATAGTAAAGACTTTGGTTACTAGAAATACTTTTTAATGATGAGTTTTGGATTTTTGAAAATTGGTAAGAGTACATTTGTCTATGAAATAACAGTTCATATAAATATTATGTAACATAAATTATTAGTCAAAATTAGGTTTAAGAAGACCATGCTAATATAGAAATCGTCACATTGCCGATATAAAATTTTTATAGCTACATCTATATATATCTAATAATAAAGACAAAGTGAATTCTCTATCTAAATTTTTTTTCCTTCCCCATAATGCTCTCACATCTCTACTGTCCCTCACGCCTGACCAATACTTTCTACACGTCACGGTGGCCACTTGGTGGTTTTTTCCCCCACATTTCCGATCCTACTAAAAGTGAAAATAAACTAACAAGAGAGAAGGTGTTCAGTCTTAAGAACGAAACTAGGGGTTCGTGTCCGTGCGTTGCTACGGAACAACTAAACTTTTATATTAAAAACATACGAATCGCACGATAAGATAACAATACTGTAAAATTAAATATCGACGTTAAAGTGACATTTAATCAAAAAGCAAAGTTCGTGAAATTAACACAGTCACGAAGAGCACGGCGTTGCAGGCTCACCAACTATAGACCTTTCTCTGCATTGCAATGGGAGCTTCTATGGGCCTTGAGAGTCCTTCGTGCGTACAGAATACATCCCTGTCTTCATGTTGGCCCTTCTCTCCCTCACCTAAATCCTCTATCGTTTTTAAAAATAATAATAAATCATCTATCGGTTTCATTAAGGTCACTACAAAGGTGGAGGAAAACCGCAAAAGAAACTATGCCATGGAATTCAAAAACTCGCACGTTGAAGAAAATTAAAAGAAAAATGAGAATTAGACCATAGAACAACGATTATTCTTTTAAGACAAAGATATATATTTGTTTGAATAATTAGGACTTAGTACACATGATTTGTTTACAGGATGAGAACGATCTTAGCAGAGATGCAAATCTTACATGGCCACGGACCTATTATTTAAACAAGATATGAGGAATGCTAGACAATAGGAGACAGAACTCACGAAAGGATCCCTTTCTACATTATGTATATTTACTACCCTGGAGTAGTTAAATTGAATATAAGATACAAGTTGTCAAGACAGCTATGGAGTTCTGAATTTTTTTTGCCCTAGGAACATGATTTTGAATAAATAATCCACTTAAACATTAGGGCAGACTTGCCCACTTTGCCAGCAGCAGTTAGCTTCAAAAATCAAGTGGCAGCCTCACATGCAGAAGAATTAATACCAATAACATATGCCCAACCTTTGCAAGTTGCATTATCAAAGTAATGCAGTAGATTTTCACGAGATCTAGCTAAAGGATTAGGTTAAGGCTCTTGCAGTTCCGACTAATTGTTCTGAACTGTTGGGGACATCAGCTTCTATCTCAAAGATTGCGCTCTGTACCAGATCATCTTGAGTCGATGGCTAAACCCACAAGGGTGATTGTAGTGAAACTTGCATCCATCTTGCCCTTTCTAGACATTGTTAAGACTCTCCATGTCTAATTGTCTCAAACGATCTAGGTTTCTGAAATAGCAGTAGGAAGAGAAGAACCAAAGATGAAAAACAGCCTATGTAATAAACTTTACTACTACAGATAGGTAACCTAAAGTCCAAATAATAAAACTATATGTATTTCATCCATGAATTCAACACATACAATCAACATCATTATTAGGTAATGTTAATGATTAGCATTAAAGGAAAACATTAAGAAATATTTGGACATATCGTAGCAAACACAATTGAGTTCAGTTAACTATCTTTCCATCGCCTGGTTAAAACAGGACGTGGCCTAGGTAGGGCCCACCACTATCA